GCCCCCCACCCATCTCCTATATCCAAATCCCTCTGTCCCCCCTCCATCTCCCATACCCAAATCCCCCTGTCCTCCACCCATCTCCTATATCCAAATCCCTCTGTCCCCCATCCATCTCCTATACCCAAATCCCCCTGTCCTCCACTCATCTCCTATACCCATATCCCCCTGTCCTCCACCCATCTCCTATATCCAAATCCCCCTGTCCTCCACCCATCTCCTATACCCAAATCCCCCTGTCCTCCACCCATCTTCTATACCCAAATCCCCCTGTCCTCCACCCATCTTCTATACCCAAATCCCCCTGTCCTCCACCCATCTTCTATAGCCAAATCCCTCTGTCCTCCACTCATCTCTTATACATGAACTCATCTTTCTTCCATCCATCTTTTATCCTTACACTTCAATCCTTCTATCCTCCAACCATCTCTCACATTCAAGTCCGTCTGTCTGTCTGTCCATATATATGAATAAGATTTCTTATGTTTCCTGTGACATTAAACGTTGGTTGCTATCGGCGAGAGCCCCAATTTTGGGCTGTTTCACCCAGCCCCATGGAGATGCTGCGTGACCGCACTGAAAGGCTGATGGCTGCTTTGTTTGACATGGAATTTGTACGGAGAATTAAGATGAACGAAGCTGTAACTCTATTATGTAAATATCTGTTTCTATTAGTTAATCCGGAAGAATTTTGGGGTCAGAATGGAATTCCTTGTGACAGGATGGTTTTGTTTTTCCTTAGTTTGCAGCAAAGGTGTCAGAGACGATCAGCTGAGCGCGATGGACGTTTGTCTTTTTCCCCAACCTTGGTGTATTTTTGGCCGGGTTAAGTGTTGGCAAGTCATTAGCTCATGGAGGGAGGGAGTCCGTGGCTCTCGCAGCTGCTGATCCGCTGATGAATGGCGCTCATTTTCATGTAATTAACCCAGATCTTAATATGCAAAGTGCCGTTTCAGAACGTCGATCTTTTAAAAAAAAAAAACATCTAAAGGGCAAAAGACGTGGCGCGGGTTCGGCTTTTAGCGGCGCGCATCCCCAGGCGCCGGCAAAGTGAAATGGTTCAGATTGCTCGGGCTCGTCTCCACCTACTTTTCTGCAAATAGCACTACAAAGCCAATTTCAGGGAGATTAATGTAATGTTACACATCGTTCTGAACAGTGGCCGCAGCTAATAGGGTCCACGGGTGCTGTATGCGTGTAAACGTTAGCACAACACTGCATGCGTATGGCATATGGACAACTTTTTATGTGGGATCTGCCGGCGAGATCCTGCGTCAATCAATAGGCCCTTGTCAATGAGCCCTAAGTGCTGGTTCACACCTGGGCATTTTACTGCGCTGATCGAAGCGAAGTAAAACGCTTAAAGGAGAACTATGGGGTCAGTGTTTTTCCCCATAGTTCTCCTTAGGGTAACGGGAAGACACAATAAACTATGAGGTGAGTGAAAAGCTGCCCCCCTCATAGTTCTCCTTTAAGCAGTGAAATCCCATTAATTCCAATGGGCATGGTACCCACCTGGGCGCGTGGAAACGCGCTGAAAAACGCCCTACACCCAAACAAGTACAGGAGCTTCTTTGGGGCGTATTTCAGCGCGTATCAATTGGTATTCCCGCTTTGTTAACCCCGAGCCACACTCGGGAATACAGCGCACAGGTCTTACCTTGTCCGCGATCCCCGCTGTGTTATAGAGAAAATAAAGGAAAAAAAATCACTTAACGAAAAAACGTGCTAAAAAAACGCGCTAAAAACGAGCTGAAAAAACGAGCTGAAAAAAAACGCGCCTCTAGTACGCCCAGGTGTGAACCCAGCCTAACAGTAACAGCTTAGAAACACCTTCCGTTTGTGTACATTAGAGAGCTGGCGGGCTGCCAAGTTTCAGCTCTATAGAAAACCAGGAGAGATTTCAGTGCTTCTGTTGAGAACTTTGAGGATGAATTGCTCCACAGTGTCTGCAGCTACAGAGGTTAGTCCCAAGCAGGGCCGGATTTCCCACAAGGCCAACCAAGGCCCGGCCTCGGTCCCAAATCACAAATGATTTCATTATTTTGTGGCCCCTAATACTTCTATCGCATGTAAAGTGTCCGATCGGTTAATATCATTCAGCACATAAGACTAAGCGGCTTATAATAGCAGAAGCGGCTCCTGATTCCCTACGGTGCCACTCCGCGTCCGCCCGCTGCATTCCGCCACAATGAAGACACAACATCTGCACAGAGTCGGATATAAACATCAGTGGGACGCGGCCTATGAATTACCGTTGACACAGCAGCGGAGAACATCACTGACGGTCTGCACACCCAGAAGTGTCTTTAACCTTCCCGTCCAGACACTGATAAGCCATCATCTCCATGACGCCTCCTGAATATGGATCGCCACCGCCGGTCTCTTCCCAAGGTTTCTGCTCGCGGCATCCCGCGCATTCACACAGCGACAGGCGTGCCAGCGCGCCTCCTGTGTCTCTTCTCTGGAATCTGCAGCTAAGCGGAGGGATTAATTAGAGGATGTCTCACAGATTACCCAGATAATGACAGAACAGGTGTGTTTTATAATACCGGCAGACGGAACGATGGAGAAGAGGCTCATCAAGTGGCGATGGGAGGACGGGAGTGTTAGTAGACACTTTGGCTTGTTTTGTAGTTTACAAGCACAAAATGGACCCATTTGTTGTTGATCTGGAGGGTAGATGGCTGTTCTGGGAGTTAGGTTGAAGGTCGGCTCTGGTAGATACTGGCACAGTGACAGAACCCCTGGTGCTAAAATCAAAAATTTAGCCTCCCTGTAATCCCAACACTAAATCTCCCTTTTACCCCAAAACTAACCCTCCATTTAACCCTCACACTAGCCCTATTTCTAAACCCAAGACTAACCCCCCCTGTAATACTAACACTAACCCTCCCTGTAATACTAACACTAACCCTCCCTGTAAACACTAACTCTCCCTATAACCTTAACACTAACCCTCCCTGTAACCCCAATCCTTAGCCTTCATCTAGCTCCAAATGTAACCCTTCCTGTAATCTCCACACTAACCTTCAATGTAAACATATCACTGACCCTCACATTAACTCTTACACCAACCCTCCCACTAACCCCAACACCAACCCTCCCAGTAACCCCAACACCAACCCTCCCAGTAACCCCAACACCACCCCTCCCAGTAACCCCATGAAAAAGACAGTTTGGAATAGGGAATGTACAGCACAGTGTACAAAATGGAATGGTGTGGAATAGAGAATGTATGGCACAGCACACAACATCAGGGAATGTACAGCATCGCGTTCAGATTAGAATGGTGTGGAATAGAGGATGTGCAGCACGGTATACAGAGTGTGATAGTATAACTTAGGAAATGTACCGCACAGAGTACACAATGGGGCGGTGTGGACTATGGAATGTACCGCACAGAGTACAGAATGGGGCGGTGTGGACTATGGAATGTACAGCACAGAGTACAGAATGGGGCGGTGTGGAATATGGAATGTACAGCAAATCGCAGATTGAGGTGATATGAATTGAGGAATGTAAATCACGGCATAGGGAATGGGGCAGGTGGAATAGGGAATGTAGAGTACAGTGTACTGACTGAGGCGGTGCG